AAAGACATTTTAAAGGAAAAAAAAATCTAAACTTACAGAGTTAAAAATGGGACTGGTGCAGATGCACTTGTTCAGCTCTGCCCCAGGCAGTAAATCCTACAGACATGGAGTGCCCCCTGTGGGAATTTAGCTTATTTAATTTCACACGAAGTAATTATAGGAGGTGCTTTGGTACCATTGCTGCAATCACATGGTAGCCTGATATACCAGGTGGCCCACAGACCTTATCGTCCAATTCAGTATGATGCAGAGTTTGTGCTGGGCCTAGAAAATCATACCTTGCAGATGATACTTATTACTGCTTAATAGCAATGACAACAAATACAAAGTGCTTTCAAACTACAGAGACAACTGTTTATACATGTAGAACATACGCATCCTTCTGCAATCACTTTTCCTCTGGAGAACTTCTGATAAACCATAGGCATAAACCATAATTTCCTCTAATGAAAAAGAAAACCCCAAGCCCTTTAATTTCCAAGAAGACAATTTCTGATGAGCTGACAAGTTATCACTGGATGGACATTAATACTTTTTTTTTCTGGTCTGTTCACCATGGGTACACATAACCTGAAATATTTTTGTTTAGTTAAACTGTTTGCTGCATTTGAAATTACTTCACACCTCATTTAGGAGCAATTGAAATTACTTTTCTGGCAAACAAACTATGTGCCAATTAATCAGTTTCTTTTGGACTACTTTCAGTTTCAAGCTTATATTCATACCTCCAGACAATACTGCTTTACTGCTGAGAGGATGAACTTTTCAAAAGACAAATAATCCTAGCTTCCACTGACTTCATTTTCACTTGTGAATGTTCGTGTGTGTGTGATTTTTCTTATCTGACAGCCAGAAAATGAACACATGCACTTATCAACCATCTATCAAATATTTTTAAGTCACTTGCATATCATGTAGGAAAACTATAGCAGAGATAAGGATGAACAGTCTTCCTGCATAGCACTGCCTAGGTTGGCATCTTATTTTTAATAGTAGCCTTCATGTAGCTCTCAGCAGGCCTTCCAAGGCCAAGATGAAACAAAGAAGGAATACAATAAACAGCTTCACTAAGCTACACAGGCCTGGTTCGTCTCTGATCACCACCTACACTCTGTATCAAACAGAACACTCTATGTGGAATATACTCATGTAATTAGAGACTACAATGATAAACATTCAAAAGACCACGCATGTAAAGCCACATAAGAAATCAAACAACATTTTCTGACAGCTTGATTTTGAAACATAAGTTACGTTCTAGTATAACAATTCATTTGTCTCTAATAGCCTTGATTATTTTTTAAAGAAGAAAGAGGATAGTAAATTATTCCCGGACAAGCAATAATCTTTCCTTTGTGTGCCAGCAGGATGAAGGATTCAACTCTGAAGCGCCAACTACGTTATGTAAGTCTGCATCCCTTGAATTATAGGGCTAGCAGCAATTGCAATTAGCAAGAGAAGGCATAATTCAGGAAAGGGCTGTTGGACAGCTTTCCAGGTCTGAAAGAACAGATTGAGAAATGCTCCAACTGGGACTTTTCAACCCCAAAGCAGATGACTAGGAAGAACCTTCTGACCATAAAAAAAGGCCTGCCTAATGAAAAAAAAGCAACCAAAAACCAAACCAATCTCTTCTCTACATGCAGACACTGTGTCTGTTCCCCTTCCCTGTAAGCACAGTGTCCGCTGCTACAGTTTTGGAGCTCGGCCCCAGATTAGCCTGTTTGTGCTCAGTTATTTTCACACACTGCCAAAATTTGCTGACAACACCAGGAGAAAAAAAAAAGGAAAGGAAAACCGGTGATTTTCAACAGTTTATAACTCAGCTCAGCCTAAGCAGGTTTTTATGGGACAAAGAACAGAGATTTCTCTGTAGACAGCACTTTATTCCTGCCTAATTTAAAAGATTTGCTGTGAATGATGGAAACATTAGAACTTCTTAAAGAAAACATAACAAAACAAAAATCCTAGCAGTTCACTGGTATTTTTTTACAGTAGATCAGGTCTGGTGATATAAATAGAGAGACCATTATTTACCTCTCTTATAATTATTTGCAACACAGGTGTTTGTTTTTTTTTTTTTTTAAGAAAATGAAAATATTAGACTTAAAGGAAGAGGCTTCAAAATACATAGTATTTCTTTAAGGAGTGAAATTTCTTCCTTGGAATAATTCACGCTTGGGCTATTCTAGTGCCACAGTATTCCCTAAGGAGTGTGAAATGATCTCGGAGTTACAGAGTCAGTAGTAAACACAAGTTCTACTCTAAGAAACAGTATTTTAAATATATATTTTCACTACCGTAATATCTAACAACTTCCTATTAAAACCCAGAGGTAACTTTCTGGAGTCCTCTTGTTGCTTTAACACTTTCTTTCAGTCCATATCTAGAATCAACTAAAGCAGCATTTCCTAAGCTATTTTTCTTTTATGTTCCCCTGCCCCATTTAGCTGACTGCAGGGCTCAGGCTGTTAAACTTGCACCTCTATCAAATCTCAAATTTAATCAGTACTGCTTTTGAGTACCTCTAACTTTTCCCAGTGAAGCATGCCCTAAAACTTGGGAAACAATATAGCTCTACTGTATCTTTGAACAGTATGTGTGCAACAGCTATTGTTTCCATTAAGGACACCAAAACTAGCTAACTCCTTCACAAAATTGATCACTTGTTCAATTACTCTTATTTTTGAGTTAAACATTAGAAACTTTTTGCAAAACTAGGAAACAGATGACAAGAGTGCTTTTCATAAAAGGAATAGGCTGGGAAAGTAGGGAAACACAGAATATACTGGAATTTCTGTATATAAATACAAGATATTTAATTGACAGGGAGTCCTCAGCAGAGACTTGTTTGCAACACAACCTCATGGTGAGGGTGAGTTTTTAAAGTTTGGATGCCTTTGGCAGTTTTATAGAACTTTAAGACACACCAGCTATAACTAAACCACGCTCAACTAGTTAACTATACAAATGTAATGCTTTTTCCATCTTTCTCTCCATGTGCTGACAGCATTACCATTCTCTCCAGTGTTCTTCCTCCAGAGGTACAATGGATCTACCAGTTTATGCAGTCCTGATACTACATTTCAGTACAACAGCTTTCCAACAATAACTTACTTAGCTAAGAGAGGTCATCGCTTAGAAAAAGAGAGTAGTTATATTAAAGGCTCTAGAGCTACACAATTCAAATTAATTTCAGGATATACTGTACACTACGTGTATATTTTAATGAGAAGGTTTGGCAGAGCAGTTTGGCAAAAGAAAGTTCTGCCAAGTGACTGGATATGGGACATATCCCCAGTTGTTTTGGATTCCCACATCACCTTAAGAGGTATTCTTCCCATCCCCCAACACACCAATTCTCAAGGCAGTCAAATTTATAGCTCAATAAAATTTTTTATTAAAAATAAAAAGTGTGGCTTCTAAGTACTTCAGTCTTCCAACATCCTTATGCCAGGTCTAGATCAGACTGTTGTAGCTGAATATAAAGATGGGGAGGCTTGGCCCACTTTATACAAGCCCTCCTAAGTTAAAGTTTCAAGATCTAAGCCATCTCTCTTTCCATTCTGTAACAGCTGTTTTTCTATCCTTTCATTAAGAAAAGGAAAAGGAAAAGGAAAAGGAAAGGAAAGGAAAGGAAAGGAAAGGAAAGGAAAGGAAAGGAAAGGAAAGGAAAGGAAAGGAAAGGAAAGGAAAGGAAAGGAAAGGAAGAGGGAAAGGTAAGGAGAAGGGAAAGGAAAGGAGAGGAGAGGAAAGGAAAGGAATGGAAAGGAAAAAGGAAAGGAAAGGAAAGGAAAGGAAAGGAAAGGAAAGAAAGAAGAAAGGAAAGGAAAGAAAGGAAAGAAAGGAAAGGAAAGAAAGGAAGAAAGAAAGGAAAGAAAGAAGAGAAGAAGAAGAAGAAGAGAAGAGAGAAGAGAAGAGAAGAAGAAGAGAAGAAGAAGAGAAGAGAAGAGAAGAGGAGAAGAGAGAAGAGAAGAAAAGAGGAAAGGAAAGGAAAGGAAAGGAAAGGAAAGGAAAGGAAAGGAAAGGAAAGGAAAGGAAAGGAAAGGAGAAAGGAAAGGGGAAAAGGAAAGGAAAGGAAAGAAAGGAAAGGAAAGGAAAGAAAAGAAAGAAAAGAAAAGAAAAGAAAAGAAAAGAAAAGAAAATAAAAGAAAAGAAAAGAAAAGAAAAGAAAAGAAAAGAAAAGAAAAGAAAAGAAAAGAAAAGAGAAAAGAAAAGGAAAAGGAGACCAGTGCAGAAAAGTTAAATAAATAAATAATGGTTCACAAAACCACAGTGGAGGAACCACTGCTGGTCCTGCCAATAAAAATGTTCCTTCTCTTCAGGGCTGGCTAAACAACTGAAAGTGTTTCTAATGAACTGCTGGCAGCACTATCCATCATTGCACTAAATAGATTCATGTCTCCCTAAACTAAGGATAACTATTTATCTGTAACGCATAGTCAGAAATTAGGAAGTATTTAAGCCTTGGAAGTCTAATTCCTCATCTCTCCCCGCTCCTCAAAGCTTGGTTTTATTCACGCTTCCTGATGTAAAGATGATGAGAGAAGTCCAACCAGATAGCTGCAGTCTGATTTCAGCATTACAACCACCTGACATTATGTTTATCTCTTCCCTCTTTCTTTTTTTGTCATTTGTTACACTGACTTGTGTCTTACCTTAAATTATCAGCTACTCAAAGCAAGATGGTACATTCATAAGACACACAAAATATCTGAGTTCCAATAACTGTTTAGGATGTCTGAAGATGCTATTGTGCAAATAATAGTAGGCTACTGCACACAATTAAAAGGAAGAAATGTTTTTGAGCTGTATCAGAAGTGTGAAAATCAGGTAGAAAATCACTGGTCAGAAGTCACTTCTGAAGGTTCAACTGATTACATAGATGCTGTCTACAGAGACATATTCATGAAGTGGCTGTCTTTAGAACACCAGCGATCAGAGGAGAATTCAGAGCTATCAGTAAAACATGCCTACAAATAATGAAAAGAAACACTTACTTCATTTCCAGAACTTCTTCCAAATGTTTCCTTCTTTCAGCTCGTAGGTTGGTCAAGTGGGTTTCCTTCTCAGCCAAAGACTGTTGCGTAGAGGACAATTTTGCTTTCATAGACTCCAGCTCCTGCTTCACCTTCTCCATGGCCATCATCAGCTCTTCTACCTAAAACATTTTTTGGGAAGACAGGAGTAGAGAAAAATAGTGTAATGTGATCAGCTGGAACTCACTGAATGTCACAACTAAATTGGAACACAAAGACTACCAATGCATGCATGCTGCATAATGCTTCTGTAGACTGGAAGTATCATCTACTGCTGTAGACAGTATGTCTACACTTGACTGAAGCAACATCAGTCTGTGAATTAGCAGTCTGGTCACTGGAACGTTACCATTACAGTACCAAATTACAACTCTTCAACTCTTCAGTATTTCTATTTTAGAAAATGTACCACAAGGGTAAACAGATGTTCCGTATATATTAAAATTAGCCCACAAAAATGCTAGGTATTATACAGAATACACTGATAATATAGCAGAATAATAGAAAATTTCTCTGGAAATTATGCCTAAAAGGAAACTACATATGCACTTTGAGAATGAAAGAGTTTCTGAACACAAGGTTCCCATGAAGATGTAAGTAAGGCTACTTCCCTCAAGATATCTGCTGAACAATGCTTGCATGCATGTTTTGGGATATAGCAATATAAAAGACATTCAAAGAATTGCTGATAGCACACAAGGCCAGCAGAACAATGCTTATACCTTTGGCACGTGGGAAGGGTTCAGAATTCACATGATTGTAAATTCTAGCACATATATTACACAGATTAACACAGTCTTATTTTATTTTGCACTTGCAGCAGGTTCTGCCTCAGCTAAATTTTATCACTAATTATCATGCAAAAGCACAAAATGCTCAAGTAACATAGAAAAGCCTCTGGATATTCTTTTAACAGTTTTACAATAATGCTCGATGGATCTTCTTTTTCTATCACAACCAAGTGTTCATAAACAATTTTATAATGTGCTTTGAATGGGAGAAACTCAGATGCTACCGGTGCACACAATCAAAAATTTGTATAAATTTAGTATGATGACAGAGCACTGCATACCATTCATATCCCTGCTTAACAGTCAAGTTATGCTCCATCCTGGAAATGAATTACTGAAATTATATTAAGCTCAATTTTTACTTATATGTTTTCACAAAGGGAGTTAGACACATCAGTCGCTATACAGGTGTTGGAGATGCAAGGTATGGAACATAACACCCCTTGCTTGAATAAATCCTGTACTCCTAAAGGCAGAGTTGATGATTCAGGACAAACACAGATAACAAAACTGGTTTTCATCCTCAACTAGTGACAGAGCAACAACCATTGCCATTCTGAATTAGCAAGTTTATAAAAAAACTAGCATAGACATTGTGCAGTATTTATTGTGGAAAGGCTATCTGCTTCCACTCAAATGCAGCTGACAAGCAGTATTCTTCTTATGCCCAGCAAATTAAGGAAAATTTTAAATATGTAGTTATCAAAAGCTATTCAAAATGTACCCAAGAGTTCAACCAGTAACCAACAGATGGAGGAGAATTTCAGTGTCACATAGTCCAAACTGGCTAGCATGCACATAATAACCAAAATTTTCCTGCCTTATTATTGTTTAGTGAAGAAAACAAGATCAGAAACTCTGCCATTTTTTAAAGCAAAGAGAAAACTCCATAAAATGAAACAGAAAAATATATTAGAAAAGAATACAAAGAAAATCTGCAGAAACAATAAAGAGCAAAAATACTACAAGGATGGAAACTAATACTTAGAAAGACAAAAACAGAACATGCTGGGGAAGTGAAGGTGTATTAGTGTATCAGCTTCTAGTCTATCAGCTTCCACTTCCTCTGGGTGGATCAGAATGACCTACATAAACATTTTCCTTTTTTAATAAAGAAGAAAAGAGTCATGCCGACTACAAAAGCCTCTCCTTGTAACAGAAAATAACCTCAAATAAACAAGCCCCCAGCCAACTGTAACAATCAAAACGGTCCGTGTCAATCTGTCTGTTGCCAAGATAAAACAATCTTTGAAGCAATGTTTTTTCCATACTGAGGTTTGAAAGATCTCTGACATCCTTCATTCCATTCCCAGTCATCTAGGTTTGTGATGCTAACAGTGAAGGACTGGTTTACTTGATGCAGATCTGTAGCACAGCAATTCTGTGCTCTTAAAAAGACACAACGAGGCTAGAGGCCGGTATCTAAACCAAGGGTCCTGATGCTAGATGGCAAGGTCTAACTCTGCAGGAGTACTTTGTAGTAGTGGTTATTGCAGGTACTTAATCTTTTTCTCATCACTTAGTTTGCTAATTCTTTTAATTCTGAGGTTACATTCTGTATTTTTGCAGGTTAACAGAAAACTGATCTAACAGTGTATAAAGAAATGGTTGGAATGCAAGTAGCTTTTAAACTGTGCCAAAACTCAGTTTACAGAACGGCTATTACCTCCCATCCTCTCCTGCAAGTACCATTTGTCATGCGATTTGCTAAATAAAAAATACACCAAAATAGTGATGATTGTATTCACAACAAAGACTTCCTTGTTCAGATCCATCAAGTTATAGGTATTCCATGGGACCATTTCAATTAAACTGCTGCAAAACAAAACATTTTATTTGGCAGCTTAGGCAGCTTACGAATCTTAGTGCAGACCTGTCTGCATATGTCCCAGTAAGCAGTCCTGTGAGAAATAGTACAGGACTATTCACTGGAAGTAAACTGCTTGCAAAGCACATCCAGTGTAGCCTATACAAAAAGGTTCAAATCCACCCTTGACTTTTTTTGTCCTGAGAGCAGCTAATTATATAATAAAGAAAAGGGATTTGCCAAGAACCAGAGTTCTTGCACTCTGAGACATTTCCAGAGACATGCTGTTGACATTTTCAATTTAACTACAGATAAGCTTCTGCCCTATCAATTGTAACTAGAAAGTTTCCATTTCAGAAGGCGCAGAGAGTGCACTCTTGCTCCTCCTTTCTCTCTGCTCAAATGATACTATATAAAGCAGAGCATATCTTTGACTATCTATGACTTACCCATGATTCAGTTCTCTGTAGACTGGCCTGAAAGGTCTCTATGTATTCTGAGCAGGATGTATCTGCAGAGAACTTAAATGGAGACTATTTTTTCATTGGTTTCAGGCCTCAAGTGACCTGACCAGGTGACAGCTTATCTTTAAGGAAGAATATGAAGCTGAATGAAGTTTCCATTAGAGGAGAGAGCTCCTGAGAGATCGAACAAACTATGTGTAGAAGGGCAAACTATGTCAATTACATCAGCATGCTATTCACAGCACCAGAAAAGGAAAATGTCAACATAGGACATTTTTTTTTACATAGTATTACATCTCCTTAGAGAGAATGAAAGCAAGGTGGAGAGAAAAAGCAATACAACAGAAGTTTATCTACCCTATCAATGACAGCTTGTAAAGAAATAGCAGAAAGGATATAATACCAAAAAAATTACCTTTTCATTACGCTATCTACTATCTTAACCCCCTTGCTTTACAAACTCTAATTTCAGGCTCCTTTGAAGCAACTGTAAATAAGCAAATAGGCTTTTGCACTGACATCCACTTAACACATTACCTCCAAGTATGCCGTGTTTCCAGTATGCTTTCCAGTCCACTGGGTAACGTGAGACCAAGGACCTCCAAAGACCTTGGTCAAGTTCCTCAAAGTCAGTAAAACTGAGAAAGGGATTAAATATGGAAAATATTCATGAGAATGGAAATCCTACCAACCTCTGTACTAGCTCTTGGAAAGATTATTGACTATTAGGATCACAAGCTCAAATTCACACCTCTTATGCGAGGAGAACCAGTGCACTACTGAAAATATCAGAGACACAGCAGATATTTCAGGCAAGGAAGAAGGCTACATCAACTGATGTGGTTGGTGGTAGTTGCCTCTGAAAATCAGAGCCCAAAGATCAATCCAGACAGACACGCTAACTAAAGGAGCCTCAGGATCCTCAAATGCTTCAGTGTGTTTAAATTACAATGCAATGGCAGCTACTTTTTTCTTCCCACTGTGAACTTCTTCCTCAGTGATAAAGGATCACCTGAAGAGAACTTTCCTACTGCATAGAGAATTGAAAAAAAGGTCTTCCCTCTCAGGAAATCAGTTCTGGAACTTGATTTTCTGCTTGCACCTTTTCAGAGAACCAGGGCAAGTTTGTGTCATCATCCAAGCAACAAATGCATCATGAATGCTGCTAATATGATGTAATTCACCACAGCGTTACTGTGCCAGTATAAAAAGACAATGGAAAAAGGCATCAATATAGAAAAAAAAAAAAAGAGCAAAATGTTATGCACTTGAAAAAAACACTTGCAGAGGCAGGGGATCTGTTCTGAAATGGTGACCCATGCAATCCATGTTTATACGCTATGTGCATATCAAGAACAAGAACAAGGAAAAGGGTAAAGAACACCCTTTACAGACATGGCAAACGAAAACTTTTCAGTCTCAAGTAACAGTATATGAAGGCATTTACAGTTTGAATGTATAGGACTAGCTTAAATAGTATTAAGGATAGCAAATCACTGGTACACTATATGAAAAACACTTTATGTTAATGTTAGATAAGGCTTTTCCCCATGTATAGATTAACAAACTTTGCACTTCTCTGTCTTACTAACAGGATATGGTTGGCTTTCTGGGCTGCAAACACACATTACCAGCTCATGTCTGGTTTTTCATCACAAAAATCCCCAAGTCCTTCTCCACAGGTCTGCTCTCAATCCGTTCTTCTGTCTGTACTGATACGGGTATTTATTGCCTTGAATGAGATACAGGACCTTGCACTTGGTTTCTTAAACTTCAAGAGGTTTTTCACTTATTCAGCTAGTTTCAACCATCCAGATGGTCCAAAGAATCTGTTAGTCTTATTTTTCCTCCCTTGATCTTTTCTTTTGTTTGATCAAGCACAAAAGACTGCACATCAGTCCATAATTAGAAGTCTCAATGGGCATGACAAAGGGACTTGACTATTGCTTTAAGAACCCTAATGCTAAACTGAAGATACAGTACTTTAGGCGCAGTGATACATGGGAAACTCACAGCTTAATGTTTAATTACGTGCCTGAAAACCGACATATTTTTATGCT